GCAACGTTTGTGGCGGAAAAAGGGTGTTGCTGATGCGATCCATCTTCCGGATTAGGACCCTACTTACCATCTTTGTTCTTTGCTAGAGACACTGTGAGCCATCCATGTTAGCGGCATTTGTCCCGTCGTTTTTTCCAGACTGTTTGCTTCAATGTCTACGAATGCAGGAACCCCAGAAGGTTTCGGGCGTGCTAACTCCAAGTCCCTCCTTCATAATTAGTTTCTTTAAATATAATTAGGTCAGCCTTGTGGTTGTACGATAGTAGAGCATTGGTACCAACAGCAGTTTTGTTGTTTCACATGACTGAAATTATTGTGGTCAGAAAGTTAGATTCATCAGCATGTCTTACGTTCATCTTTCACGGGATTGACGTGCGAATTTATGTTTGATGTTAAAAAACAACCATTATTGCAGTCTTTTATTCTTACTGATTGTGGAAAGCACATAGACAAGTTAGGGGATAGTTCGCTGACTGAGGATAATTAATAAGGTCTACTCTTAAAGCGTTTTGTTCTGCTTTATTCTTGGCAAACCTTGTAAGATATCTGTCACATACCTCTACCCAAGTCGACGACTCATCCCGTTATCCGCTAGGATGTACAAAGACTGCGGTTCCTCAGTCGTTCACTGCTCTTCGCACAAATTCATACTTTATCTTCAGTCGTTTACGATGGAAAATAATAGTATACAGTTCAAGCTCACTCAAAGTTATTTCATCGTCTTTTTATCCTATCGCTGTAAAGCGCGTTGAACAAAATCCACTCAGTGGGTATGAGTCCGCGGATGACTCGTGATCACTCAGTTTTGAAAACATTTCTTAATATTATGAACCTGTAAGCGATGACAACCTGTAAGCAATGACAACACAGTTCCTGTGACCACATCGAGCAAAGTAACTGTGCGGGGATCTTCGCATAGATGGTTGATCTTGCCGATAAAAATAACCGAAGTAAACATGTTCGCGCAACAAAATGCAGTTTTTGTTTTCTAAAACGGAAAATGCGCTATACTGCTGTGTCTCTTAAGGGAGAGAATTGGAGGGAATCGCCTGAAATCAGTTTCAACTAACAGCTGGTACCTCTTTTATTCAGGTAACAATTTAAAGTGCTAAAATGGTCGTAATACTGTGGAGTGTTTTCTACAAAAGTATATAAAAATGAACTGTGATAAGAAAAAATGCTAAGCTATAATATGAAAGCCATAATCGACCAGCTGTTACACCCTTTCGGCGCCTAGCTGCCACGCCGCCACCCACAGGAAGCACCAAGTCTGGGAGGAAACCAGGTTTCTCAAGCCTACACAGGAACAGTTCAGATGTAGAGGTTGGGTTTGAACCAAGGGCTTTCTAATCAGTAATTTAGCGCCGAAATCACCGAACCATCGCAATTTATAGAGCAGGTTAACTCATCCACTTTTTGGAGTGGCCGTTTTAAAGGGTTCGGATAGCGATTGCTGTAAACACATGTTTCCCGACTTTGTTTGCTGTGCTTTGCCTGCATGGTTGAAGCGAAAGCTGTCCGATGAATCAATACTCACGAACTTTGGATAAACGCTTAGAACAATGAGCATGTGATCCCCGAGACCTCTTACACAATTCTGATACTGCAGACCACTTGTGACACCACTAGTCACGGTTTTTTGGTGAGACACTCATGTGAGGTAGTATCGATCAGAAAGGCCGCTCAGCTTATTGGTTCGGAATACCAAATGTGCACACAAAACTAGTCGTGCGCGGCGAGAAACCAGTTTTAGAAAGGACATTTCGCATTCCACCACGCTTTGAACAGTGTTGATGCAAACGTCTGGTACGGTAAAATATTTCCACGCAAATTATGATCATATGAATACAAGTTACTGTAATTAAACAACTGCAATATAAAGTGACCACGGGAATGTTTTTATACCTACAAGGGACCTATTGAACAGAGATTTGTGGTCTATTGTAGCCATGTAACAGCTAGTGAGAAGCACATAAGGACACTTACCACGATAAGTGAATACCTACTAGTTGTGTACTCGAGAGAGAAAACAACCTAGACTAACTTAAAATACAGGAAGCCCACAACAATTTTTTCATGGATTATTTATTGCCCACTCATCACTTGCTGAACGCATGTGTGGCTAACATTTGTCTAAACTGGCTCAGAACCGTTCCACTGATGGAGGGCATGTGCTTTGTTTGATAAACTATAGCCAATTATGGATCTTACAAGCAGTAACCTGCTTCCTTTTCTGCGCATGTTTACTGCGGAATATCAAATTTTGCCGCAGGCTAACTTTCCGGTAAGACTGTTAAGTGCAAATACATTAATTTCAAGAAAGTACTTTACCCTCATCGAAAATATATTGGAAGGATAAATAACTCCTGTCGTATTGACTAAGTTTGAAAATATACACTTCATTTTGTTGACCGATATTTCCAGGAAACTGGCTACTAGTTAATTTGCACATCTTATTGAGGTGACGAAAATATGTTGCCACGCTAAACATTCAATCATTTTTTAAAACTACAGGTTACCAGACCAAAAATATGTGCTACCCTAGGCAATCAGACGCTGGAACTCGGTTTTTTGTAATCAAAAGTACTATCAAGGCGTGGTCTGACTGACCCGCAGGTTCCTGCTCACTTGGTTTCATAAACACCCAAATTTTAGCAGAAGGACTGAAGGATGAGAGCAAGCAAGGTCATGTCCTTTCATCGACGGTCTAGACATTGTGGTTTAGTGAAGTGCACGCAAAACACCACTTTTAAGTTGATCTTTTGAATAGAAATATAACGATGGCTACGGAATCTCGATCTTCATCAGGAGCAGGGTGTTTGGAAACACAAGGACCGAAAGCGATCCATATGTAATAAAACGTCGAGTTATAGAAACTGAAACTTTCGTTTTTTCCTTGACTGATCCTAAACAGATATCAGTTAACGCGCACGATGTATCCAACCTAATTCGTGCAGAATACGGTGATGATATCCTAAAAACACTCATCTTAGATAGTTTTCCCTGACAGATTCTTGGCTTCGAAAACGTGTTATGACCTGACAATACTTTGCCGAAAACATTTTCTTCAAAATATTTAAACTATCTGCGTAGGCGTATGCAACTAGGTCAGAAATGTACGCTGGACCGCAAGCTCCTAACTAGCTGTACGACGTTGATGATGACTTGTGGCTACAACGTCACCTCAGAAACAACCGTATCCCAATTATATCAAAACACTTCAAACCTATGTTTTTATATGCTTTCACAGCTGTACATTCGAGGTAAAACGAGAGGGCTAACTGTTGTACCTTGCTGAACGAAAGTGCAGCACTGTATCGGTCCCACTATGGTGTATCAAAAGGCTCGGTAGCTCTAAACAGCCCCTTAAGGAGACAAAGGAAAATTATTTCAACTCTATTTATAGGGCAACCACAAAGTGTTCCACAAAGTCGTGTTGGAATCTCCATGACGGGGCGCGAAGCGCCGAGGCAAGGGTGCTCGATCCTGATTGGCTGGTATTCTGGCCAATCAGGGCATGCCTTCGCTTGGTACGTGTTCTGCACGTGACACGTCCGTCCAAATGATGTGATGTTCGCTTATTAGGAACGGGTGGCCTTCGCACAGTAACCTGTTCGCTGTGGACATAGCTGTGTTACCGCAAAGGGATGTTTTTTGTAGCTTCTGCATCCGTCGCCTGCTTGCAAAACTCAAGACGGTGACTTACAGTCCAGTTCGGCGGCAGTCATACAGCATCGTGATTTTAAATGTCCACATCCTTTGTCGATCACTACTTACAAGTGTGCTGTCATTTCTGGCTTTCTAGGAGAATCAAAAGAGGTCGTCTGGGGAACTCTTAACACATGCACAGAATCACCCTGCGTGCTGCAGAGGAAATCTATGCTATACTTGACGATAACATTCAGGCCTGGTAAGTTGCTTTTTCGTTTCACTGTTAGGTTGCAAATGTGGCTTCGCGCTTTGATGATTGTAACAGCAGTTTAGGCTGGAAATCGACATCAGTTAGTTTCTTCAATTGAACTAGGAGCCATTATGAACATGGACGATGATATTCAACAAGATGGGATAGCAACATAGGCGCGTTTCCCCATGGGTATGGCGTTGTTAACTGTATTGTCCAATAATATTCATCCCGGACGAAATCCCGTATGAACCATCTAACTTTTCTGAGCTTTCCAATGCTTTCTAGGTTGTTGTATCTTGCGGTGGCCGTCTATGGGTTACGACTGACTGATCCTGCCAGACTACGCGATACGGCGAAGACAGAGAACTGAGAACACGGCTGTATTGTCAGGACAAAACATACAGAGCGTCTGCGTAGGTATATAGGATGACTAATTGGCCAAACACGGTCGTTCACTTGTTCGTTCCGTACAGCCAATGGTGCTGTTCCGGTCGTGAACAGTCTCAGGCCCACTACGCTGGTCGTGTGTTGCTAAGCCGTTTGGTAAGAGCCGCCATCTCACCTACTTTCCGGACGTGTCGAACCGATGGTGATCTGGGGGATGCGTCACTCTCTGTACATATGCTTTCTCTTTTGTCTGGGCGCTCCCTGACATAGGTAGATCCCTCATTTTCCATGGAAGCTAGTTTACTCCCTAGAAAGTCTGGTTTAGCACATCTAGATCAAACAACACAGACTTTCACTCCTCGGTAACACCTTCCTCCAATTTTATTGGATAAAAATGCTTGATATTTGACATCTAACGTTTTCTGTTGTTAAAGTTTTACAAAGAGCAATTCATGAAGTCTTCCCTCTGTGAAAAATTTTTGTTACCCGTGTGACTGCCGGGGTAAGGTTTTCAGAATTTTTGAAATCAAAATTCGGTGATGTACTTTCATACCAATCAGGATTGAATTGTTTCAGATGTAAATATACTTTTGATCTTGCATCGAAGGATGCATGTTTTTCGCTGGAAAGATTTGCGGGCCGTGAAGGGCATTCTCCTGATAGATTTTTTGCAGTTATCGTTCGGGAGTTACGAAGCAGTACCGAAAAAATGCCGGAGATGGATGATCAACATAAAAGTACGTTTGAAATCTGTAACGATACGTTTCGGTTCGGACATGTGTTTGATAAAAGGGGAATCTCTTCTTTATCCGGAAGACATTAAACCTTCAACTAAGACAGTACGTTATCAGTTCAAGAAACGAACTTGCTTATTGGCCGCATATTAGTTTCGTCCATTTGTTCAAGGTTTTTCTCACACCACTTCACATCGCCTTCGGAATTTGCTCGTCACAAACTGATTAATGTTGGTCCATACTCAACCTAAGGCAATGTTTCGCATCGTAATGAGTAGATACATCGGTTTTTTAAAATTCGTTGTCCTGACAGCTGGAAAAACCCAACAAAGTAAGGCGTTTTTCCAACTGGCATTCGCGTACATTTCATGGCTGTCACATTTGTTATAATCAACTGTCGATGGACATTCGACATGAAGAACGGTTCTGATCAAATTCCTTTAATGCTGACATCTCAACTTCCAGCACTCTTTCTATGCACTCCTTTGCAGACCGGGAAATCACCAGTATTCGGGGCGAAATTGTTGTGACGTTGTTACTGTTTGTTCATGTCACTCAAGAGCTCGATGTTAGTAAACAACGAATTGATGCGGATTTCCCACTGGCTCCTGGGCGTCTCTACACCTACTTCTTCAAGGATGTTCTGCCGGACGAAGAGGTACGCAAACTATAACGAATACCAATTTTCCGACAGAAGAAATAAGGCATTCCTTAGATTCTAGCTGCACACTGTGACTGATGGTCACGACACCGTTGGCCTTCGGTTGCAGTGACTGACTCGCTGGGTCTCGCGAAGCACTTGGAGCATCATTTCAACATTCCGGAAAAGGAACCAGAATAATATCCTTGAGTCAACCCGATGTCCGGTTGCTTCACCATGCTTATAGATCAACGAGGCGAGTCTGCGAGTGCATTGTTTCCAATGGATCAAGGAGATACCTGGCTCAAGTAGCGGAGTACACGTTCCATGACAAGTCCATATATGATGAATTGAAATCCACCATGTGTGACACGGATGTTTGAGACAGCCGCTTTTTGGATTCTCAGATTAGTCTGCCCAATTCTTACAACGAGACTAAATTGTGTGTCTGGATATGTTCAAACAACCTCACCATGCAGTTTTAGTCAACTAGCTTCAGCTAGGTAGTGACATTTAAATTGGCCTCTGAGAAATTCACGCTCCATTCTGGCTGAATGGCGCGAATTTTTAGTTCACTGGGTGACAATGAAAGTCAACTGGGCGGTGACGTATTTGTTGTACTTTTGTCACCCCCAGACCTACAAATAGGTCAGGTGCGCGTTAAGAGGTACGCTAGGGCGACTATTATATCTTATTATGACCCTGTGTGAGTACCGGTGGAATATTTCTGAGTTTGCTTACGGAACAGAGTTTTTTACAGTCAAACATGAAGCTAACCATTAATTTTCTTCCGCATTCATTTTACAAGGCATTTTTTTTCAATTGTGTGCTACATCGATTGCTAAACTTTGGAGATTAGGTGCCTCTTGTCTCTGTTGGGTTGCTTACACCTTAGATGGCACGATAATCAAACTGTGGGATCTCTAATCGAGTTGTGTGGCTACACAATTCCTATGGTCCACCCTTGGCCATCTTTCCCTAATGGTAGTAAATCAGATGTTTCCAGTTGCCCTGTCTCTTCAGGTTTCCACCTAGCTTTGTGCTTTCAGGCGACATTTAGATTACAACCTATTTGGTTATTTGGACCGCGTGCTGTTCGGACTAACCCTCTCGTTCCCCTCCCATTGATGCAAACTGACCTAACTCCCACTCCTGGTGAACACATTGGAGATAACTGGCTTGTTATGTTAGTTGCATACAACCCTAAGGATTGCTTGCATACTGTTGCGGATAATTATCCTATGAATCTAGTTGTGTAAGATTCCGATGATTTTCAGACATAAATCAATTTTCCACGGTGTATCGTTTCATGATTCATTTCATTCAAAACTCAAGTGACGCTGTTCAGTTTTAGGGAAGTCGCCTGCCACATTCGCGCAGCCTAACAAAAGATTCCAGTTGGGTTCACCCATTTCACATTTACTGAAGATGTGCTGAAATGTACAACGGATAATCCTGCATGAATGTCCAACTGGCAGGACCATAGATATTTCTGATGTGCTGTTTTCTGATATTCAACACTTATAACCTGCAGCTTTGCTCTGACACTTTTGTACCCATGTGACCAAAAGGGGGTTTATCATGTAAGATGGACTGAAAAGGCAAAACTTTCACTCTGGTTCCACGATTTTCAGTGAAGGTACATTATTAACAACACGGTTCAGTTTGAAAAGAATCAGAAGATCATCTGATTCTGGTTTGACACAACCTGCTCAAGCCAGTTTTTTTTTCAGTTTTTGTGATTGCGTGGAACCAAACTGCATCACGTAAAGTTACTGCCATGTTCCTATGATCACTTGACAAAGGTTTTAAAGTCCATTCGAAAGAAACTGGTGAAGTCATATAATGTGGCTGACGGAAACAAGAGTTGTTGAGTGTTACTGGCACCGCTTCGGCCAACTTCCACATACCTTCTTTCTCTGTAGCAAGGAATCGCTATAACTTGAAAAATACAGTTCAAAGCGGGACCATGCTGGTAAAATCCGGATTGCCGGAAATTTCGCCTAAACTTTCGATCCCCTGCAAAATAAGTGAAGAAAGGACGGGATTTTCGAAATCCTGAGTGCCAAGCAGGATATCAATGGCACGAAATTAACGCACAAGAACTCTTCTCCTTTGGCTAGCTTTGGCGTAGTTTCTTTCTTATCCAGTGTTCATGATTACCTCTCTTGCTCGGGTAGTCCGAACCAACCAACTTTGTGTATCTCAAAGACATGAACCGCTAACCTGTCTTTCAATCCACACACACCCACACCCACACTGCACTCGAGTAGTTGTTAACCTTCTAAGTATTTCGGCCTATCGTTTGTCTCAACAACCCTGTTTATATTTCGTGCAACTGATTTCTCAACGAATTATTTTTTTCCTTTTTTCCAGGGATCGGTCCGTGTACGCGTGCATCTTTACGATCAGAACAACAGAGAATTTGTTTGCCTCGAAACGTCTGTTACACTAGTTGGTTGATAATCGATGTTTTTACTTTGTGGCAAACTGATTTTTTTGCTGCATCTTTATTCATTTGGTTGTGTTGTTGAGCCTATTATTTTTCCTTAAAGTTAAAAACAGCTTCTAGCACCCATATTCTTCTGTGTCTGCGGGAGATCAACCATTCGTCCAATATGAACAGAAATAAAAAAAATACATAGTTATGAGTTGCCTTCTATTCGAAAAGGTAAGCGTTCAGGTTGCCTTATTGTCCATGTTTGACGGAATTGTTTCAATATCGGACAGAAACTAACAAACATATTGTTTGGAGATTTGGTCATTTTCAACTGTGAACCCAATATGATCTGCAAAGCCGAGAGCACTGTACATCTGTCCCATCCTTAGTGGGGTCATCAAATATGCGCATCTCACGAAACTGCAACAGAGCTCCCCTCATCCTCCAATTACAAAATCCACATCAAGTGGTCACGTACTAACTGGCTTCTCGAGTGAAGACTTCTCAGATGGAAGTTGCACTCCTCCACTGAAATTATCCTCTTTCCGAGCTACATTTCAGTTGATGATAGTGTGAGAAGGAGTCAGTCGATACGAGAGCACGTGATGTGGTTCCCGTGATTGAAGGATGAGTGGTATTTTATTGATTCTAGACCCATTACTTTAAGAGCGTTATTTGCAAACCCAAGTTATATAAAATGCATCAGCAGACATAGTGCTGAACACATCTTAACTCCTCTACACGGTAAAAATAAGATAAGTGTATGAATTATTTTATCATGTTCAGGAATGCATGGTTGCGTGCTAACCGACAGTTTTTATCCTTCTGAAGGCAGTCTCTTAAGTACGGAAGATTTGAGTGTTTCATAATTCCCGAAAGGAGCTGGACAAATGAGGATGTTGACATTGTTTTTTCTGGTGGAAGATGAGAACTTTTTGGGTTTACTGTCAGCCAGCAGGCATACATACATTCGCATCTCACACAAAATAACTGCGAGGTTTTCTTCCGTTTTGCGCTTTATCCAATTAGAAAACGAGCATGCGACTGGGAATGTTTTTAATTCTGGGTTGCTCAAAATGTTTGCGACTTTACCTTAACCCGTTAAATGCCAGTCACAGAAATATATGGTAATCAAATCATGAATTCATTATGCACAAACCTAGAATTGGTCACCAGTGACAACACCAACCAACCAAGTCCGAACGACACCACCGACCAGTCACATTCAGATCGCTTAGCTTTTCAAACTTTTAACATTATTGTGCATTTCAAACATCCAAGAATAAGGCGATACTGGACTGTTTCCAACTGAGTTCGCTTGTCGGATGTGTGACAAGATATTCTAGAAAAAACCCTCTGTAGTTTCCCATGATAATCTTAACGGAGAAGTTGATACGAGTGTTACTATGAGGCTATCTTGGTTTGCAACCGATGTTTGCTCTAAAAACTCACTATTTGCAGACTCTTATCCAATAGAATGCTATTACAGGCAAGTTAGCTTCCATACAGTCTGGCGTGAATCAGCATGTGCTCCAGTCTTTGCCGAGTTGGCATTGAATGCTGCGTTTGTTTGGCCAGTTAACTACCCCCAGATTTAACTCCCTATTAGTACCATCATGTACTTTTAGTCACCAACTTCATCATCATTGACAGCACTACTTAATAAGAACTCTAGCGAATATACACTCATTTGCAACCCAATTTGGTTGTTTCGAGAGACTCACCTGGAACCCAGCTGAATCTCTCGTTTATGATGGATTTTCAGCAACCTTATGAGTAGTACATTATAATAAGAACTCTGTTTCTTCATTGCCATACAAATGTTTTAATTTACGTACCACAAAGATCCGAGATGTCTATACCTCCAACACTCAGTCAGACAACCTGGATAAAGACTGGTAGATTGAAAGCCACTGACAACGTTTGGCCACCATCCCGTTCACTTTCTCCATCCAAGCAGAGAGATAGAGAGCCACATGGACCCTATCCAAAAAGACCAGCTGCACCCAAACATTTCGTAACATCATGTGCCTGCAGCCTGTGAATTTCCGCCAACCTATAGACTTCCACCACTCTCGAGTGGGCACAAAACAAGGCTGTTCTTAGAGGCGTGCGTAAAATATAGCACAGCTGAATTGGCTTTTAGACGTGGACGCATAGTTTTAATGGAGTGCCGTTTGCTCTACTCAAATCCTGTTCCCCGCTCCCCTAATTGGAACATTTCTAACTATGGTTCTGAGGCGCTGATGGCAAAAGACCTGAAGTTGTCATAGGTTGCCTGCCCGGAGAAGCCAAGTGCTTTATCTGACTGCTGTCCCCACTCTGGTGCCTAGTGCCAGAAAAACACTAGGCGATTAGGAACGCAACTGCTTTATTGCGAACAAGCGAGTATGAGGGCCTAAGTTGGAAAGTGCAACGGCCTCAAGCTATTTTACTGGAAGGACACTGCCCGACCTTGGTCCAACAATGACTCACGCTGTCTGGTTTTGATACAAGGCTGTGACGCGTTGCAGATTGAGAGTCTGCATCTAGTGGAGTTGAGGGTCTCAGTAAATTTCGGGCATTCAGTGGTTCCCTTCAGGAATCTGACGTCTCTGATAGCGAGTCTCACAGACAATACAGCCCACAATGTTATTCTGATATGCGCATGCTTTGAAATTGAGGAGAGCAGCTCTGCTGTTGCCATTGCTGGTTGAAACTGGTAAACGGAATTAATTTCTATGGTATTCTTGGGTTGGCTTTGCCAGTAGCCGTATCATCAGAACTGGCGATGACCTCCAAAATTCAATAACTTCCAGCGTTAGTCCTAGAATTCCCAGGAGCACTTTCAAAGACTGCGAATCCCACAGCAGGACTTTGCACAGTGTTGCATGAAAAATCGGAATCCATTCACGAAGTAAAATGTACTAAGTTTTTTGGAAGTTAGCAGGCTTTTATTTTTGCGTCAACCATGTCACTAAATTGCACAATTGAATGCACCGGAGACCGTTACATTCGTCTTCTGATTTATACATGTTAAAGACAGCATGACTTCAAGGACAATAAGATATCTGGCGGAACTGTTTTTGACACTACTAACAACCCTGATTTTGAAAGGCCTTCTAGAGGGCCCAACCTCAAGGCAGATTACTGCCCCAAGTGTTCTGAATTCGGTTGACGTTTGGGAATGTCATATCTTGGTAATGCTGATCCACAGTTCAGATCATGGACCAGCATACTTATCCTAACGAATTCTCTCCAGGAATGAACAACGGAAATTTCATCAGCTTCAGCTGCAGAATATGCAAAACGCGTTCCTCATGACGGGTATTTCCTCTAACATGCCGACAAATTTTTCAGACTAACGATTTTTGCAATCACTACGTTGGGAATGCAGTCGCTTCAGTAATACAGCATACAACCAGCAGTACCATGACTAAGCGCCTACAACTTGTATCTCAAAATAAGCGAATCATCCTCTACTTGTCTTTTAGAAGGTGCGGAAAAGACGGATTTCACGAAGAAATACAGCTTTGAAGAATCTTTCGGCTTTCTATGCTTTCGGAGTTCAACCTTCCAATGAACTACGCCATAACTGCCGAAGGACATTTCTTGAATGGTCAGACAAAGTTGCGGTGTAAAAGATTGACTTCGTTGCTGCAAAGTGTTGATTAGTCTAATCGTACCTGCTGTATGCTACCGATTGTTTCACTCATCACTTCATAATGGCCGATAACGGGAAATTCTCTTGCACACATCTACATCAAAGCTGTCACTCCTGCGTTCATCACACCTGATAAGCTGTTTGAGCGCATCTACCGGGAATTCGTTAGGCAGAATTTGGTCAGCGGAAGTCGACAAGGCTTTAAACTTGTAAAAAAACATTGCCGGGATAAAAATTGTCATTTTTTGCATGCACGAAAACGTAGTGAGTACTTTTACAACCAAGACCATTATAAACGCCACCACGATCACGCTCATCTCCGGCATGATATTTTCCAAACTCACTGGACTGCATTTTCACTGATGGACGATGATAACCTGGTTGTTGTGCATGGCAAATTTGGGAATAATTAAAAACCAGAGAGTTTTGTTATGAAATTTCACCTGTTGAGATGTTGGATAAGAATCAGAATTCATTCACGAAGTAATATGTACTAAGTTTTTGGAAGTCAACAGGCTTTTTTGTTTCTCGGGAAGTTCTCAAAATGCACAACAGGTTTCGAAGTTTGACCCTTTTCCTGATGTGTTGGATAACGCTGAATTAGGAGAGATCTGCCGGATGATCGCTTCCTCTGGTAGCCTGATATACTCTGATCTTAACTGGTCGAGGCTAAAAGGGAGCAACAATTGTGAGTGCATTTACTGCTCTCCACTTCTCACCTTAGAATTCGCTACCACTAATTGGTTTTCGGAACGCACAAAAGTGCATGGTGAGAATACCGGTTACACTTGTGGCCCCATAATTTCATTGTAGATTTTGCTTAGAATCTAGGTTTAGTTGAGCAGACTGACAAGAAACGGTTGCAGAATATTAGTGGACAATTCGTTTTCACAAAGGTTTCGTACCATGGGCCGAAAAATTTCGTTTGCTTGGACTTAAATATTGCTGTTGTTGTTGGACCATGCGCTGAATCATGAAGATGATTCAGCCAGTTTGACGTCATTTGCAGGAATATAGTGGAACTATAAATGCAATATTCTGGGCCACTCAGAGAAGGATTTCAGTACAATAAACACCTATTAGGAAGCCAAGCATATGTCAGTTTGATCGAAAAGAGAATTCCTAATAATTTTTGAGATTTACGCATAAATGAGTGCACACGAGACCGTCATATTTGTCTTTTGATTCCCACAGTCTTTTGAGTTCACACATGTGAAAGCCAGCATGACTTCAAGGACAATCAGATGCTTTGTGGATATGCTTTTGACCCTGAGAATAACTTTGATGACGAGCGCCAACCCTGATTTTGAAGTGGCCTTCTAAAATGCCCAGCCTCAAGGCACACCACTACTCTGAATTGACTAAATTCTGCTGACTTTGGGGATTGTAATGTCTGGGAGACACTGAGTCACAGTTCAGATCATGCACCAGTATTTGCGGAACTCCTCCGAACGAACTCTCCCCAGCAACCAAAAGTTTATCGGTTGTTGTTCACACCAATGTTTTTCGAAATCGTTTTGTTTGAAATGCAGTCACTTCAGTAGGATACAAACAACATTACACACGATTAGGCGATTACATCTCGTGCAGGTTGTATCTCCAAATAGGCAGATAATTCTCTACTTGGTTTTTATAAGGCTGCAGAAGAGACGGGTTGCACACAGTTGTAGTGAACTAATTCTTTGTGATAAAATGCATTTCGTGGTTCATTGGTGCATGGAGCAATACAGGTTTGATGAATCCGTCGGTTTTGTATGCTTTCAGTGAACCCCGCCGTTATTGCCGAAATTTCGGGCGAATTCGCGGCGCAAAAGACTAACTCCGTCCCAGCAAAGTGTTGATTAGCTCAGATGTCCTGGTTATTAGTCTAGTTGCACCTATTATATCCCACTGATCAAATAACTGTTCACTTCGTAATGGCCCATAAGGATGTCAAGCCACATGTCTACTACGAAGCTCTGTCAATCCTGCTTTCATCACACCGGAAGTCCATAAGGCCTCGAACTCAGAAAAACATCGTTTATTTAAAAAATTGACCTTCTTGCATATTGCTATTGTACTTGAATATTGGGCCACTAGACTTATTCAGGAAAGCATATCGATAGTCTTTTTCTCAGTGTTTCATTCGCAACTCAGTACCTCACAAAAGAGACCACCCCTAGTTGACTCATCCAGGTTGTCTCTCCTGGGGAGCTACAACCGTGCATCCACAATGATCACATCGTAATGATTGCAAATCAATTCAGACAAATATGTTTGCTTTTATCTGTCGGTTAGATCAGTCAGGTCATTTGCAGCTTTCTTTCCTGTCATTGGTAGACTGCCCAAGTGAAAAATGCCACGGAAACGCCATGGTAAATACGACCGAAAAAACGACCATGATGCTCCCAACGTATAAATACTAGAGTTCTATATATTCAGAAGTGTGAAGATTGTTCAAATTTTTTGTGAAATACACTCGTTTGCAGATCAATTTGGTTCTTACGAGAGACTCAACTGAATCCCTCGTTTACGATATACTACAACTGAAAGTGCTGCACACAGGGCACCTCATGTTTCAGTTTGCACGATATTCAAGATATCGCAGTATATTTTCATAGAGCAGAGTACTCACAAGGTTGCTGAAAACTCTTCGACAGCCCACAACCGGTTTTGCCCTTCTTAAGGGGCTCGTCAGGAGGCGTTGTCCCCGATTTTCCGTCAACCTTATGTCCTACTTGAACCCAAATTGGACTGTTTTCGAGAAGGACACTCAACTGTCCACATTTATCTGAGATGAGTAGGAATCCAAATTTGAATCCGCTACAGCTATAGGTGTCATATATATAGTCGACGGATTTGATTAGATTTGGTCTGTTTTGGCATTTGAGATGGGACTGACCTTTTTAAGCCTTTTTTTAATGACTACAAGAAATCTCGACCGATACGTTGTCCACAACCCTTTATTTACATGTATACGTATATATTCATGTATTCGGATGTGTTCATATTGCATTCCGTATAGGACGGATCATACCCGACCCATAGTGTGGCTCCCATGGTGTGTGTGCAATGCCCCTGATAGGACAGACGGGTCGTTGTCAGACAAATGGGATTGATTTTCAGTATGATAACAGATGATTATATGCACCATTTGTTTCCTCCATCTTTGCCGCTGTTGATTCCGTTGGCTACTGGATAATGAGACGCAAGTCCACGCACACAATCTTGTAATTTTTGGAATCGTATAAACTGAGCTGAGCGCTGCCGTTGTACTGAAAGTTAAAAGGATATTTAAAGATCATTAGGAAGAAAATAAAGCCTAAAGTAAAACGTGTCAGCGATAACATTCAGGAGAAGGGTTTTAGATTCTGAGTGGTTATCATGAAATTCAAATCAGACTTTGAAAGTGTGACTCCCCAGGCAGTAAATGAGGCCAGAATTGGGGCTTCCAACACCTTTCACCTGTGGGCCACAGATAGATATTATAAGCAAGGTTAGAATTTCTCTCGATTTTGCTATCAAACTTAGATAGGGAATCTTAACTCCGTTTTTGGATCACTGATACACGGGTACGGAGGTGACATCTAATGACAATGCAACTGTGGCAGTGCATGACTCTCTCAGACGGGCTGTTTGAAAAGTTGATTTTTCAAACTGTTTGGACAGGGTTAGTTGATAAAAAACATTGACTGTTTATGAGAACCCGGTGTCCAGATTGGTAATCACCCTCCTACTGTAAACTGCTTACTGTTGCTGAGGTCTTCGTTATATTTGATCCCATGACTAATAATATGCCATGCGACCTCTGGCGTGACTGTCAGGACATCAACGATATTCTTTCCATAGGTTCTTCTGTTATTTCAATTTGTTTACAGCCAACCGGCGTGGTAAGCCTTCTGCTCACTAGACGAAACATACGTAGTCTAGCTAATTGGTCTTCCCAGAGTAATGCCAACTCAAGCAAGCCATCGGTGAGAAAACCTGCAGTACCGTGCGAAAATGCCTTTGATGATAACAGGGGTCGATTCACGCTGCGGTCGCCCACGAAATATTCGATTTTGACGGGTCTGAACACATTGAACGTTAGAGAAACCTCATCCTGTAGGTAATCTCTCCATTGTGGTTTTACTGGGTTCTTACATTTATTACCGTTCCACTACACCGTTATGTTCACAACACATCCTGAGAGCAAATAGCTCACGTTTGTAGCGGTCTAGCGTCACACACCTAACTGAACTGAAAGTAGCCACTTACGATTCTAGTAATGTAACCATCTGTGTGTCCAACACAGACACAGACAACATAGACCTCACAATCCAAGAACGGGCTGTTCCTGTTGACTAAGTCCCAAACGAAAAGTCACTGTTTTGCGGTTATACTATGAAAAGACTCGGAAGTGTTAAAAGCCCAATGCCAGTTTGGGATACGACCGTATCGATATTCTCCTCCTTCCAGAAGGCTCTTCTGTTAACTCTGTAGAACCATTGTCTCGAAACAAAACTTTATATCTACACCACAGTTTAGTCCCCATTTCACGCTGAAAGATAAAGGACCAGATAAAGATGATCCTTTTGTAGAAAAGTAAAGGTGTGTTTCTTTTGAAATGACTTCGTTTGAGCGTGCCCACAATAAAGACGATTACGTTACTCATCACTAAAATGTTTCAGGTCATTTCAAATCCAACTTCTACTACCAACCACCGCTTGGGGAATTGTCTTTGGCGGGCACTCGAATACCACTGCATCTACGCTTATAATCTATTGTTTAAACTCACTTTTACTTTTGGAACAATTGCCTGAACCTCGACCGTATACTTGAGCCCACGCTGGATTGGACAGTGCGGTGTCGCATACCTGCATCCATCCGAGTACGGATACGGCAATTTTATCCACTTCCTAAGACCAAATACGATCGGTATACTCATCCATATTACGACATCTTTATGACTTCTCGCTAGAAGAGAACAAACGAACAAATATTGTACAGCGTGTGTTTAATAATTTCTATATGACTGGCACGCATATATATCGAGAAGTCTTAGATTCCAAAGGTGTATTCCGTCTGGCCGTTCACGAACTGGAGTTTGTAAGTCTCCTTCCCTATGGATCAATCGCAATATTTTTTTGTAAATTTGGTACGGGCAGACTGATCAAATTTTCTCCTGAATTACCTGGATCGGACGGGCACTACATACGGAAAACAGAAAGTTGTCACTTTACCAAGGTGGTCTCTGAAGAAGATGGTCTCTACAGAATGCGGCGCGTATATCGTATTATCCAAAGTTACGTAAGCGAAAACTGGGCACTGGCCTCTATTTCCATCGGTGTTCCTGATTGAATCGCAAAACCCGGAATATTCAAAATAATCTTCGGGTCAATGGATTGAAGATTTTCGCTCTAGTTTCTTCTCTGTTTGGACTCAAAAGTACTCTACATCTCTCGCATATGTAAGCAGGTTTGACGCAATGACTTACCGGTCAGTAGATGAGGACAAAATCATTCGGCCACTAGTAGCTGCTTGGCAGTGCAGTTACTTCTCGCCCACACAGGAAACGGTGTACCACACCACTTAGTGGTGCAAGCACAACCTGCAAGTATTCTTCTTTCAGAGCTATTTATGAAATGGGATTTGCATCATCGTCATCATCATCATCATCATCATCGTCGTCGTCATCATCATTATCACTCCGGAAAGTACTATATCAATACTGCACACTGGGGCTTGATATAGCTAATTGGTTAAGACGCTATCTACTGATCGGAAGACCCTGGATTCGAATCCAGTTACAGGGTGTTGATTGTTCTTGTCTAAGCTTGGAAAGCATGCGCGCTTCAATCAGTGGCATGCCAGATAGGCACTGCAAGAACGTTCAAGATGAACGAGCCTCTTTTGTCTACTTCTTATTACAATAAGGATATTGATAGTTCAAAACTAGAGATTGGAAGCTGCCTTGATCTTGCCCCATGTCTAATAACTACTTAAAAGGCTGTCAATGAAGCAGCCTATGTTGTGAAAACTGTTGGACAGAATTCCACACGGATACCGCTTCACAGCTCGCAGTTAGACGCTGCTACGGCCGAGAAGCTTATCCCGCACAATAATGGTGAAAAATGTGATGCTGACGCCGATCCGTTATGAGGCTTAGGTCTAATTGGTTGAAAATCTTGACCTAACAGCCAACCATGACCCAGTATTGGTCGAATGCTGGCTGTCAATATTCCAGAAGGCGTCAGAATTTCCAGAAGATTGCCACCGCTTACACTACACATAAGACGCGCTGTTCAGGCGTTCTTGACTCGGTTTTGAGCGTTAATGGATGATGTGCATCTGTGGTGGTTGTTTTGACAAGGAAACCATTTCGGGAGGTTCAAATCCAGAACTAAGTTGGGGAAAATACCGATAAAACAAAGAATAAACGCCCCACTCTCTTACTCACGTGAACAATGTATGCAAGGTTTCTGCTGTCTTTCCTAGTGAGGTGATGCTGTCGTTGGCAAATTGTGCGCTATTCTTACTTTCTATCCTTCTTATTTTGAGATCAGGCAAGCCTGATGGACTCAGTTCCAACTTGGCAGGCATTTTATAACAAAAAACACAGCTGTTGGCTCTTATTCATAAGGATATCGTCATAATTGTATTATGTCCCTATTTTAGCCAAATTTCGTGACCAGGCGATCCCGAAAGACCATTGTACAAAGGATTACAGAAGAGACTCACTTGAAACAAATTCAATCCTCCCAGTAATTTTATGACCAGCTGCCAATACGCATGGTTCTCTGGGGCATTCTTTGATCGTAAACGTTGTTACGACGCCAGTACGATCGGCTGAAACGCAAAAACATGAGCAAGATACCTCGAAAATAATTTTTCGCTGCTCGAAATTCGACAAGAGTCATTGGTCAATGTCCATCATGATTTCTTTGACATTCCTACGGTAAATCGGCCAGTGTTCAACGGCACAATTGCAAGTAGAAGGCATATAACTGTCCATTCTCGCAAATTGATCAGATACACCCGAATTCGATGAAGTTCCTGCTATAAAGCCAACCTTCTTTCTTTTCTGTAAACAAGCACGTCAGACACAATGAACCACCACTACAATCTGGGTGGGCCTTCTGTATCATGGCATCACTGTGCCGTTTCGTCATGTAATTCCTGGATGAAGTTCAATCTGAGGTTATTTTTACACAAGTTGGCTTGGTTCACATCAGACACCACTCTCCGTTGATGCGACAGTGGAAGTCTTGAATGGTGTCCACGGAACTGGATTGCAATTGCTACTTTTTTTTTTTTTACTGAGTTACCACGAGTAGAACTTTTTTTTACTGAGTTACTCACGAGTAGACAAAACTAATTCTCCACAACTGAACTCCTATGGTTTCTGTGACATCATGGAGGGTTCGCATGAATAGTCTCAACACATGGGCGAAAGACCTCGTCAGAAATAACTGAAGTCGGTTGATAGTGATGCCAATTTCAAATAAGTGTGTGAAAGTCACATGTGAATTAGCCTAACTTTCGTCGTAATATTCGCGTCGCTTATTCCACATCGTCTTACAAAAGTAGGAAAAGGCAGAACCCGAAAACAGCAAGCAGAGAAGCGGCTGTGTAGAAAAGATAGAGCTTCGAAAGTTAGAGCGACGACCTGCCCATAGTCTCCTACAATCCTGTTATTCTCTGACTTCGAAAGCGTGTATGATTTTGTCAATACTTTCGATTCTTTTAGTTCTTTTCAGCATGTTTGTGCTACAGAGTGTGCCCCAGAAGTTCATGAATATCCTTCATTGTCCGTATTCGCATGCTTGTGGGCTCTCTGAGAGCTTGAACACAAGCAGTGGTTTCAGACAAGGGTGTTTAGTCTCTAAATGTTTTTGTTGTGTCTTTGATGATTCTACGAGGAGAACAATGGAAGGCTTCCAAAACCCAGGTGTTTGGGACTCACCGAGCGAAAACCTCATTAACCTGGAATATGCAAACAACATCATCCCCATTTTTGAAGAAAAAGCAGGAGGCGCAAGCAAGGGCAGAAGAGCGGACTGAGGTCATTCAGTCCTTCGTCACACACAAATTACAGAGTCACGAGGCGTACAGTCTTTCCATGCAATTTCAAAAATTCAACGAGTGACATTTGAAGTTACACTAAAATCCCGACGGTAGTGTGACAGGTTAGGCCAACGCATCGATCTGGGAGACCAGGATTGCATTTACTGTCTTAAAACACTTGTAGCATCAAAATGGCATATCTATGGGTCTCAAATGACGTGTATATAAGACTCCAGTGCTGCATTGTGGTATGAGTGCCATGTTGGCTATTTCAAGCTGAGGATCTCGGATACTTTTTTTACCACCGATTTCTCAGAAATGTAGCTGGTATTAATTTGAACTTTTTTTACCACCGATTTCTCAGAAATGTAGCTGGTATTAATTTGAACCGACGAAATCGGGACGTGGTAATCAGGAGACGGGTTTTTGGTAGACCGCACGCTACTCTACTAAAGGATTGCATCTGGGGCTGCAGGCTGAGCTGGTTTGGTTTCGTGCGACGCAGGCCGCGTTGCCAACTGCTGAGACAAGCTTTGTTGCCTATGCTTAATTCAGGATGGAAGAAACGTAGCGGTAGACGGAATTTGACGTGAAAGAATAGAATGAACGATGGTAGGAGAAATATGGCTGCAGCTGGTGCTGCTCGCATTTTTAGATGCGGTCCACGTGACACTCTTTGGAGACGCTGAACGATAAGGCGGCTAAGCGATGTCAGTGGCATTTCTGCATTCAGTTTCTGTCTGACTGAGCGCTGGAGGTGAAACCATCTCGAATGCTTATGCTAGACCAAGCCTAGGTAAGTTCCGTGTCATTGGCATACCCGTACGGCAGTGGAAAAACAGTGTTCTCATTTGGTGGTCTTGCGAACGATTTTGCTGATGTTCAGAGGTACGAAGACTGTGTATCGCAATCTCCTGTGAGTGCACAAGGCTTTTGCTCCAAACCCCATACAGTGCACAACCAATGTACTGTTGCCGTTAGTGGCGATGATGAAATGCCAAAGTGGTATGAACGGATTGCGCACAAAATGTATTGACCAAAACATGATTAATTGCAGTATGTGGTAGCGGGATCTATGGCATTCATGTCCACATCACTCTCGTGCATTTCCTTGGGTGTCGAACTCCGTACATCTGGCATGCGAGACATGCGTGTTACCAATACACCACCAGCATGCGGATCATCTGCATTCTCACATCTGAACGGACGATCATGCTCATGCCAGGGAGATGTGATTGGCTGTCCAAAAGCCTCCAACTCGACTCGGGAACCAACTAGGTTGATTCGATTGACCGGCCGCCTGCTAGGATCCCTATACTCTCAGTAACTCTACTAGGAATGCTCTAGTCGGCTTGTAGAGGAGGGTTGCTAACACAGTCTCGTCTAACAGTGAGTATTTTTTCTTAAGATGGTAGTGAATTCCTGTCAAAGCTCAAAGCACATTTCTTGAATGCCTATCAGTTGTGAGAGTAATCCTGCGTCTGTTTTGATTGACCTTTTAACCGTTTTTGGTCTGATTTATAACAGAACGATTGTTGAAGTATAAAATGGTAGCATGAACAAATTAGTATTACCTTGTGAGACACACGCATAAGCCGAAAACAGAATAAAATTGTCAGAGTTACACATGAGCAGATGAAATAACGCGCTACTGGTCAATAGGTCCACGTGTGAAAGACTACATGTACCAATATAAAGTCATAACATATCCCAAACCAGTTGAGTAATTTAGGTTTCTAACTTCCGGACCAAATTGGTGCCATACATGTGAAAATTTCGAACTGTGAGCACTGCCGAATGAAGTTCCTATGAAAAATTTCAAATTCTCTTCGAGATCTGTTCGAGTATGCAACGTTTGATCTGCCTACAAAATTGAATTCTCATTTGTTTTGCTGAAGACTTTCATTTGAGTAGTCGTCACTTGGAGGTATGGCAGTCAGACTGTGGTCACATGATATGAGTAGCAAGAATGAACGGTGAGTGACGTTATATTTCTTCTAAGTACGAGTTTATCACACTACCGACTGACTGGATTGTATAGTTTCCAATAACAAACCTCCTGATCTCGGGCTGCAGTTGCTGCAGACATTCTTCAGATGCTCACGATTGATGGTTCCAGCCTTACTTGTTGCATAGAGCAGGGCGGGTGAACAAAAACATGGTACTGCTTACGCAGTAACCAGGTGACTAGAAAATGGGCATTTGGTATTTCAGTCACGCAGAACATCCTGCACCATCAAATGCATTGGTTCAGGAAAGTGCCAAAACACCGTCGACTGAGACGAGTGTTTTTCTTCGTGACTCCTTCAGAACAACCAGAACCGCGAGGTGGATTGAGTGGGACTTAGCAGAAGAGCATGACAGAGATTACGACGAATTTGAGTATGCTTGGTGTGGTACGTCTTCCAAGGGTACGTCCTCGTGACCCTTACTCTCCTCGGCTAGAGATTGTAAGAAATTGTGTCTGATCGATGGTCGTTTCGGGCTGTTAACCAGGTGACTAGAAAATGGGCATTTGGTATTTCAGTCACGCAGAACATCCTGCACCATCAAATGCATTGGTTCAGGAAAGTGCCAAAACACCGTCGACTGAGACGAGTGTTTTTCTTCGTGACTCCTTCAGAACAACCAGAACCGCGAGGTGGATTGAGTGGGACTTAGCAGAAGAGCATGACAGAGATTACGACGAATTTGAGTATGCTTGGTGTGGTACGTCTTCCAAGGGTACGTCCTCGTGACCCTTACTCTCCTCGGCTAGAGATTGTAAGAAATTGTGTCTGATCGATGGTCGTGGCGTTCGTGCTGTCAGTTTCTTTCCAGTTAGTCTGACTGAGTAATTAGGCGTGTAGAATTTCAGAATGTCTGGCATAGTTCAGCACTAGGTCCACTACCTCATTCACTTTTTCTCTTCTCTTCAATATTAGGCTTTAATTACAATTAGTTGAAGATTATGGTGGTATGACAGTGGGCCATCAGTGTTGACACTGATGGCCCACTGCCTCTGATGATGATGATGATGATGATGACAAGGATATTAACGCTTTTTGATTACCATCTGAAACAGACGTTCACATTCTCAGGGCCTTTTAAAGCTCGGGTCGAACTATTCACCTGGAAACCTCATCGCTTATTACAGTCACCACATCGTTCTACTTCTGACTGGCTACAAATTCACTAGATTCGTAGATTCGATCTGTCTTTGGGCATGAAAATGTTGGCAGTTTGTGATAACTGTTTTCAAATTGCACCGTATAATCGTTTGTGAGAGTCCCACATATCACATTGGTTTTAGTCGGTTGCTCGTCCTGAACCATGACTGTCTCCGTCGGATCCTTAGCTTTTACGTAACGGCCAATCACGTGAGTTGGGGCGCATGCAGACACAATAAACAGGGTACAATGAACCTCACTTACTCTAGATTCTCTCAAAGATGTTGCCAAACGAACCGCAAAGAGGCGACTGTCAATGGGTACCCAATCAATGGGAGACACTTTCGCTCGTTCGCTCAATACAATACTAACCCTAGCACATCCAGCTACAGCGGCTTTTGCATCACCAGAGGTGCGTAGCCGGAACCTACATACATCAATGCAGAGAGAATCCAGTGTACGGGCAAGAGCCACCTGTTGACCTGCTTGCTTCAGTGTGCGAACATTGAAGGTGGCTAAGGAGACAGAATTTCGGGGTTCGAAAACAGACTTCGAAATGTTTAGTGTTGTGAACGAACTAGGGCGTACAGCAGCTGCAGCTAGGTGTGATGCAGGGCGAGCAAAGCGGTCAGTACCAGACCTGGAATCTGCGGAGAAAGAATTCAAATTTGGGTGGAGGAGGGTGGAAGACGGAAAACGTGAAAGTGTAAGAAGGGAGGCGTCAGCAGTAGCATGTTTTTGCTTACCAGCCCTGCTGTATGCAGCAAGCGAGACGACCCGGCTAATGGCACCATGCGACAGCCGATGTGGCATGAGAATATTGTTAGTTGTGTATGTCGTGGCTATACGAGAGCTGGGATACTGCCAGGGTGCCCACATCTAGACAGGAGAACAATTATGGTCCTCAAACAGTGTACGGCAGTGAAGCATCAGTGCTAACACCGATGTTTCTGTCTTTTATGATGATGATGATGATGATGATGATGATGATGGTGATGATGGTGATCAATCACATAAGTATAAACTCTGTTTCCATCAGATGCTGATACGTTGTATTTCGGGTTATGTGAATCCTTTCCACGAGGTAACTATACGAATTCCGGGCCAAATTTTTGAAATATATAGACGAATCATGACTTCAGCTGGACGGCAGAGCCGAATAACATATCCTTCAATTGGACGATGTTTTATTCTAGAACTCGACAAAACAAGCGTGATTATCCTTTGGACATATCTTTGAAAACGAGCAGACAAAACAAGTCCCAATGGTCACTGGAACTGGGGGGAGATCCACAGAAAAACATATTCATTTTAGTCCACAAACACATCACACGATGAATAGGGGCTTATGGAGCAGTTAACCCTGAATTCGATCTTGAGCAACAATTTCAAGAAGGTAAGTATACGATCAGTCGGATTTCTCAAATATTTTGTTCATTTTTTCGGAGTGTGTATGTTCGGGCAGAGGTGCGTAGAAACACAGCGGAATGCTTCGGTATACCGTAATCATATGAAGAGGCTTTTCAAGGCTTTTGTGCATTCATCGAAAGGTCATGAATGGAGGAGAAAATGAACATGTGACTCAATGACCGTCCATTCAGTTCCATTGAGCCACGTCCCAAGTGGATTATTTATTATTCGTATGCGTCTCCTGGTACAAAGTATCAATGCCTTCATATCACTTATTAATGAATCTAACTTGACTTCATGATAGTTCCTCCATTCATTTGCTTACTTCGACCGTATACGTTTGATCTTCTTTATTTTGCTCATTTGCTCGAGCCATTCACCTTGGGTCTAAGACATGCCCGTCGGACTCTGGCATATCGGCATGTTTGTATATGTGTGGGACAGGGCGAGGTGGTTCAGTAGTTAGAGCGCATCTCGCTGTCTAGGCTTGAGTAATCTGGCAGTATCCCCGCCTTTGTGCTTCCTTTGTATGGCACGGCAGCTTGGCACCGAAAGGGTGTTACAGCTGATCTACTATCTTTTCTGTGTGCGTGTATGTGCGCAGATGACATAATTACTCCTACCTTTCGTGCGCCAACTTGTTTTCTGGTGGTTTTCGTGTGACCGAGTCAATATTCCGTTCGTCGTTGTCGGGTGTGCGGGCCTTGACATTGCACTGTGAAGGTCACGGACGGACTTGCTCAATTGTTGACTCCGTGAAGGTGGACGACTGAAGTTTGTTGTACAATTTTGCTTGCTTCTGTGTAAATGATACCATAGAATTTGGAACCCAATTCTTTCTCTTGATATTCGAGATCGTCAAGCCTACGCGTGATATAAAGTGGTTCTTACGGTATTCGAAATTACCCCTTCCGTCCAACATATGATCACGGAATTCCTGTGCAAATCCCACCATGTTCCACATCCAAATGTATGTAAAACTTGCGCACGTCATTTACCATTTGGACGTCAGAAAGAAACGATATTTCGGTACTATGGTCACTTGAATTTCATATACCTTAAACATCGCATAGGACCACAGTTGTTCGCTTTTAAGTTGCTACTGAAAAAATGTAGCGCTAATTGGGTGTCTTGCTTGCGCGAAATTGATTCAGTCAAGCTTAATCACAAAGTTGTCTCATGTATGGTGCCGAAAGTTAAACACTGAAGTTGTTCAGCAAGCGACCTTGCTAGTTTAGATTGTTTGCTGATAAAAACACGATTTATGTGGGGCTATTTCAGCCTAGTTGAAGTCAAGAGCCACGAGATAACGCCTAAACCTAAAGCCACTGAACGGTTACACAATCCGAACGTCGAGCCTTTGAGCTAGTAAATTCTCTACGGTTTTTAAAGTGTAAGTTTACAGAATTCCAAGTTTTCCGGTGGAATCACTGATGCTACAGGTAAAGTATTGGTCCAACTGATGACCCTGAAGGCTGGCCTTCGAAAAAGAAGTAGTATTTGCGGACAGGTTACACTCGCTGGTAAACATGATGAGCATACAGGAGGTTTGCGATCAACTGCATGTGTATACTCTTAGTTAAAAATTGGGGGTTGAAAATAAATG